CCAGTCTCGGATAAGTTTACTGTCACAGAAGTTAGGAAGTGAACCCTTGGTTGCAACAGTTTTATCAGAGATTAAACCTTCCATCTTGGAGGGAGGCTTCTTATGAATGTTACTTGTTAGATGGGGAAGTGATGAAACAACAGGGCTTTAAGGGAATGAAACATTCCATCTTACAGGAAAGCTCATTATCCTCCTGGGGAAATACTTGAATAAATTCAGAAAGTACCTGCATAGGACTAAATTAATTAGGTCTGTTTAATCCCACACATGTATAAAGTGTAAGAGTGCTGAGAGACATTCTCTGACGTGCTTTGCTGCATGGAGGAAGCAGAGATCATCTGATATCTGGAAGAGGTCACAAGCTTATCTGCTTGGAAAAAGAAAAAAAGAGAGACCATGTGAACTGCCCAGAGGCCTCAGAGACCAGATGCTGCTTGGAAGAGGCTGAGACCCATGAGGAGTTTAATTAGTTGTGCTTTGTCTAAGTTTGATGTTGTGCTCTGAGTTTCCAGGTTTTGTGAACTGCTATTCATACTTTGGTGGGCTATTGGTTTTATAGCTGTCTTTTAAGATATGTTGGTATATAAATATGTCTTTGTTCTTATTCGTGTAAGTGACCCCAACAATTAAATGGTTTACCAATTGGAATTTGTTGGTGTGATTTCTTTGCTCTGTCACAGAATCCAAACCTGGACTGAATAGTGCATTTGTTGTTGTTCTTGTATTTTTTTCATGTCTCCTCAGGAATAGAATCTCACAACAAAACCCTCAACTATTTAAGATTTGGGTAGTGATTGGAGTATATGCTTCATTGAATTGGGTAATAATAAAAGGCTCATAGTTTGTTGTTTTTACATTTCTGGTGTAGGTATATGTTTGTACTCATGTTTGTTTGTGTGTTTCTACCAGTTGTATTCTTAATATGTATCAGTCCCCCAAATTTTTCATGAGACATGGTCTCTCATCTAGTCTTGAGCTTGATGTTATCAGAAGGCTATCTGGCACCATAGTGTTGATACCTAGAATATGGAGAAATAAATCCTGTATCAACATAGAATGATGATCTTTCCTGGATGGCTTTCATGTCATTGGAAGCTTCAATTCATACTACCAGAATCCAAAGACATCAACAACATTCCCCAAATATGAATCATATCAATGGTTGCAATAGTGGTAGGTGTGTTAGGTAGTGTTATTGTATGATTTTTGGCCTCTCCATAACATGGAACTCATGCTTCCATTAGCCAGTACAAAAACCTGATGCTGGTGATGTTGTCGATTCTAGAGGAGACTATAATAGTAATATACTGCTTATTTGAAATACCAAGGAAGTGTCAGCTATTGCAGTTATTATGACAAATTAGAGTATGCCTCAACCCTCATCAGAGAATTTTTCCCACTATATGCTGATTCATATCGGCATTTTATTTGTATTGAAATATGCTTTTAATTGTATGTTAATAAATAAAGTTGCCCGGGGTTCAGAGCTAATAGCAAGCCATACCAGAGCTGTACATTTGTGGCACATGCCTTTAATACCAGCACTTGGTAGGCAGAACTAGGAAGATCTCTGTGTGTTCAAGGATACAGCCAGCATTGGAGACACATGCTCCAATGTGTATCTGAAGGTCTGTACAGACAGGCAGTGACGAGGCAGTCACGTGGTTGGGTTTACAACCAATGAGAAGGCAGAACAGAAAGTCTATATAAAGACAAACACACAGGAAGTAGGTCTCTTTCAGAGAGGTCTCTTGGCTGAAGAGGATAGCTGCAGCATGCGGGTAAGGCTCCTAGCTCTGACCTCTTGGCTTTCTTCTTTTCTTTGGTTCTGTGTTTCTCATTTAATAAGATGGTCTTATTAAATGAGATACACAGACCCAATGCAAAGAAGAAAGCCCAAGATGAAATCCCAAGAGGTCAGAGTGATAGCTAAGAGCTAAAAACCTTACCCTTCTCTGCCACTGCTATCATCCTCAGCAAGAGAACTACTTCCTGTCTGTTTGTCTTTTTTGAAGACTTTCTATTGTGCCTTCTCATTGGTTGTAAACCCAATCACATGACCTCCTCATCACTGCCTGTCTGTACAGACCTCCAGGTCTTCTATGATTGGTATTGATATTAAAGGCGTGTGTCTCCATCCTGATGTATCCTTGAACACACAGTGATCCACATAGCTCTGCTTCCCAAGTGCTGGAATTAAAGGTGTGCACCACCACCAGACAGTTTCTTCTATGGCTTGCTATTAGCTCTAACCCCAAGCAACTTTATTTATTAACATACAAATAAAATCACATTTCAGTACAATTAAAATATCACCATAGACCACAATTGAATAATGTGCAGAGTGTAAGAGACTGAGGATTATTTAGATCTAAATTGATACCTATATCAAACACTCTACACATGAAGTTCAGGAATCATAAGGAAAGTGGGGCTCAGATGATTGACAAGGCAGAGGTAGTGGACAACTGCAGAGAGTCAGCATTTCCTGGACTTGATGGGGTCATTGCACTATGAATTCACAGCAGGTTTGCCTGCATATCTAAGACCTACACAGATTCAAGCAATATAAATCCAGGTGGAAGGGGATAGAGCCATGAAACCCATACTGAATTGAAGCAGTATTGGCAATTAACTGGTTTGAGTGAGAGGCAATAAATTTTTTTCAATGATGCAGCCCCTGAGATGCTATCCATGCTCTAGGAGATAATCCTCTTCACCTGCCACATACAAATAGCGTTCACTGAACTCCTGAGACAACTAACATGGCACATGCCTATGGAAAAAAAAGTAGTAGTTGGAATAGAAACGACATTGGATGAAAGGGATCAGTCATGATTTGATGAAAAGACATTAAACTTGTGACTGAAATTCTCAAAAAATTAAAAAAATCATGGAAGATTTGCCTATTGTTTCATACTTGCTATGAGGTTATAAAAGTGCTTTGGGAAATATGACTAAGTGTCTGAACACTTGGATTTGACCAGACTCATGAAAATTATGTTGTCCTCTATGAACAAAAGGATGGCTAGAACATTCTTCTATATTCTTTCTGAGGGTAGACATATTATGACTTTGAATTAAAATTTTACAAACAGCATAATAACTGGAATGGAAATTTACACAACAGGACCAGCTAATTTTCTTTTCTTATCTGAAATTCTGTACATTTTGACAGTGCAATTAAGTGGTATGAATGATATTTAATCGTAGATATTTTACTTGTATTTACTTATATTTGTAAATATGTGTTATTGTTGAATTAGTTAAAGCCTTCCATCTTGGAGGAAACATTATTAAGAAATGGGAAGTAAAGGTAAGTGAAAGAACAGACAGGTAAAACAACAGGATGTTCTGTGGGGGAGATGAAACTCTGCATTATGCAAGAATGTTTTCTTAGGACAGGAAGCAGAGTCCTCAAAAGAGCTTCAGAAGTCTCTGAAACTGAAGAGATTAATTAGGCCTCCCCATTCTCAAAGGTATGTATGCAGTAATGGTTGCAAAAAAATAATCTAAGGTGAGGAAAGCTGCAGAAAAGAGATAGACACTTGGGAGCAGCCTGGAAGAAGCAAGAAAGAGCCAAAGAACCTACAATTAGCAGAGACCATCTCAACAGCATAGTAGAAATACAGACCAGTTGAGCTTTCCTAAAGGATCAGACTGATTGAGTCACCTGGAAAGCACAGGCTACATCCTGTTGAGTTGTGTGCTGTCTATGTGGTGTGCTCCTCATTTCCAGGTTTTATTAGGTGTCACACATGTTGGGGTGCAATGTGGTGATGCATCTGTGTTTGGGGCATTTCTACTCTTGTGCCTCTTACCCATATTCTTGAAAGTAACCATAATAAACTCCATTTGTTCACCAAGGTGATCTGTAGTTTGATCTGTCAAGGAATCTCTGTCTGGGAAGAGTGGATTGGTATGTGTGTAGTGTTTCCTCAGGACTCCTCAGTCTCACAACTTATTGCCACCTGAACAGGAGTCTTCCAACCAAAAATGAGTTGGGGAACAGTGAATGTGTGGTTGTGTCTAAGATCAGTCATGTATGCAACTGAGTGAGCAATAGCTCAATGAAGACCATCCATGCTGTACCACGCAGTTGTCTTCCCTGTATGGTCTTATGTTAGTGAATGCTTTGATGGTGCAGAAGTTCCATGTGTTTTGCTAACAGTAGTGAGTCATGTAACATACATGTTCCCTAACAGAATGTAGAGCTTTCAAAAAGGCCTCAATCTTGCAAAAAGGACTATGGGCAACTAAGTAATGCTAAGGGTCAGAAAAATGTTTAACACTGGAAACATGAACTCAAGTAACACTATATAGACTGAGTAGGTAATATTTAGGAGTGTGTGTGTGTGTGTGTGTGTGTGTGTGTGTGTGTGTGTGTGCAACTTAATAACAATTAATGAAGGAAAGAGGCCACAAATTTGAAAGAAAAGAATAAAGGAAATAAACAGGACTTGGAGAGAGGAAAAAGAAGGGAGAAATGTTACAATATATTATAATCTCAATATATTTGTATATATTATATATATATGTATGTGTGTGTATAATGTGTTTTGTGTTTAATGTTAGTATAAAAATTATATTGTCTGTGATGAGACTTTGAGAAAGTGGCCATTCCCTCTAGGTTGTTTTCATAAACTTCCAATTTCTTGGCAGAATGGATCTACTTATTACTGGGAAAATCTTGCTCTGGTTCTAATATGTTAAATCACTTCACTTTTTCTGAATAATATAAGTAGTCTCTTGACTTCTATAAACTAAACTTGTGGAAAATATTGGATATGAATATCATAATATCATTACTAAATTCTGCATCAAATTCCCATAGAACATTGACAAATCCTCATTTTGAATTCAGCATTTTTAAAGAACCAATGTTTATTTTTTAATAACATACCAATTAAACCTAGGAATACACCACATGTAGACTCAGTGGTGCTTTGAAGGTCTGGATTATCAAGGACCTTCTCAGTGGCAAAGGACAGGATATGAGCTCAGCAGTTGTTGTCATGAACATCTCGGCACTTCAAGACCTTGAGATAATTGTCAACCTTGTGTGTATCCCTGCGCACACAGCGGCCCAGGGTATACAAAGCAATATTACGAGTGTTTTCATCAGATGACTGCAAATCTGACCATCCAGACCAGAAAGTATAATCATTTTCAACAGCTCCAGGCTGGACCTAAACATGGAAAGAAAAGGGATTATTTACACTGTTAGTATTACTTGGAAGTAATATCTTCTTGTAAATGACTATATATATATATATATGTATATACATATATGTACATATATAGATATTCACGTATATATATGGTACATATTCATGTACCAGAATTCATGCACCAGCATTTGTAGATCAGAAAGGGTGTTGTTTAAACTTCCACAGTTGACTTCTGAATTTCTCTATTTTTTTTGAGGTAATTTCTCTTATTTTAGCAGACACTCACGAGGAACGTCCATGTTTCTTCCTGCTAAATGTTTGGATACTACAGAATATTCACTACATCTCTTTACTTTCATGTGAATTCTAGGATCAAATTCCTGGCTGCCAAAGAAGGCATTTATAGCCTGATTCTGTCCTGAGCCTTATTCTATAAAACTAATAAAGATTAAATTATACTAGAAGGAAATGTATTAGTTTTGTCATATATTATCTTGAAGGCATTAGGCCTTTTAAAGTAAATATCATTTGGGAATGCATATTTTCTGATTTGTCATTGGTCCCAGAAGAGGTATATCCATATAGAAGTAGACTGAGTAATAAACTGAAAGATATTTTTTCATGGTATACATGCAATTGGCCAACATAAAGGCTGATGTTTTCTCACCTTATTCTCTGAGGCAGCATTCATACATGTGGGTTTGAGAAGAATATTCCTTTAATCTTCTGTCTTTAAAGTCATTCTATTCTTTATATAATGTATTCTTCCAAATTCAAGAACATATCAAACATTTCTAAAATGTGTTAAGGTTGAGTTCCAAGACTGTTATCATATTTTCTGAATTAGTCAGGAATATCCATACCACCTATAAAAGCTACTTTCTGAATTACTCTGAGAAGCAGCTACTTTTTATTGAGAATACCGGTGTGTGTAGTTCTCAGTAAAGAACCTGAAGAAGATAGGATTTACAGCTGCCCTCTTCTTATTGGCAAGGCTGTGAATGAATTGGATATAATGTAATATATATATGTGTGTGTGTGTGTGTGTGTGTGTGTGTGTGTGTGTGTGTGTGTGTATGTATATAATTATATATATATATGTGTGTGTGTATATATATATATATATATATACATATATTTCAATCTCAGAAGTGAAGTTTTGAAAAATTCATTTCCCATTAAACAAATCACCTCTTCCATACAGGAGATAAGCAAAGGAATATGAAGTGTGAGTGGGCTTACCCTACTGAGTATGGTCTTCAGTCCTTCCAGGAGGCCTAGAATTCTTTCTTCCAACTCTTTTGTTTTTGACAGCATAACATTAGACGCATCTGGAAGAGCAGCCACGGCAGCCACCATGTGCTTCAGAGGCTCTTCCCATGCTTGTAAAACACTGATGGTCACTTTCAGAAGATCTTCTGACTAAACAATCATGAAGAACATCTCATTAAAATAATTAAAGCACAACAGGGTTAATACAAGTGGTGGGTAGACGAAGGTCATGAACTCCAGTATTGATTTAATATTAATAGAAGTATAGAAAACATTCTTAGCACATGATCTGCAATATAGGAATAACAATATTCTATCACAGAATTACAATTTTTTCTCAAATAGAATTGATTTTCCTTCACAATGATTTTGGGTGCATGTCAAACAGCTCATGTATTGTTTTTGCTGTACATTCTGCCATCTGTAGTCCTGGTGAGCCTCAGTTCCTTATGGTCCTAATAATACCATGTACAAGAGAACTTTTGTAAGGATTAAAAGGATCAGTGACAAAGGACTGCTTTGGGGGGGGTCTCAATGTAAGTAGATCTGAGGAAATGCTGACCTCTTTATATACCTTCTCACTATTAACTCACATTTTATTTATGAGAAGAGTTTGTGTGTAGGTTACTCATTCTAGTAATAAACATGAAGGGGAAATAGATTGTATGTGTGAGATGTGTACATATAAGGAATTTTTTGTAAATCATATTTAGAATTTTTATGACAAAGACTGAGATGGAAGATGTTAAAACAGTTATAAATCATAGGTTCTGATATATTCACTGTTCATCACAACATAGGTTATCATTGAGAATAAGATAACATGTTCAGAGGAACCTCCTTTTAACCTATTTTTTTTTTTGTTTTGTTTTTTTTGTTTTTCGAGACAGGGTTTCTCTGTGTAGCTTTGCGCCTTTCCTGGAACTCACTTGGTAGCCCAGGCTGGCCTCGAACTCACAGAGATCCACCTGGCTCTGCCTCCCGAGTGCTGGGATTAAAGGCGTGCGCCACCACCGCCCGGCTTTAACCTAATTTTTACTTGAAACATAAGAGAAGGCTGAGTAATTGTGGAGGAAGTCTTCATAAATTATAAAAAAAATGAAAGTACGACCAAGACAATCTTTAAAAATAAAACAAATGAATCTTTGGTCCTTAAGTAACATTCCTCCAGAAGAGTGTTTAGTATTATACCATAAACACTACTGTATCTGTAACCCTTCAACACATATGTAAATGCAGAGTCAACTGGGGATGTTCAACTCATATTAAAGCTTCCCAGATAATATTAAAGACAACCCCACAGACAATGTGCTGTTAAAACACGGTGATCAATTTATTAACCTATTATCATGTGAAGAGGCTTTTATTTTAGAGAGAAATTATCAACCATATGGTGTCATTGTCTGCTTGCTCCTTCTTCTTCCCTTCTCTTGACTCTGAGATTACCACATGCACTATGGCCCCAGTAACCACACACAGCAGAACTACCCTGTATATTACATCAATTGTTTTTGTCAGAATCAGGGAGGAAACCTACTTTTGTTTGGTGGACTTGCTCACTGTTTTCTGGAGTAGGGATAGCAGCAGTGTGGCAGGTGCCCAACATCAGGCTCTGTTTCCAAATGTTCCTGCCAAACTTCATATTCTGGAAGAAATAGAAAGTTCTGATTTCTTAGCATTAAACATTGAACAAATATATTCATAACCACATCAGTAACAAATTTCATAGATGTATTTTTAATAGCAAATGATAAATATAGAAAAATTGAAACAGGAATGAAGTGAAAATGGTCTGCCTACAATTTCTGTCCGTGGCAGAAGCAATCTAATTTTTTACCCTCCAATATTCTTCCCCTATTTGCTATTCTCTTGTCATTTTGTCCTTCCTAAATGGTATTGTTTAGAAGGAAATCACTGAGAAATACACATACTGTAAAACACCTAAGGTTTAAGCATCATTTTTTCTATTTATGGAGGTAAAGGTCATACATTTATGACACATGCATATTCATTATTATGGTCCCATTGATACTCATTAGCCTATTTCCTTTAGGCAGATTTTGTAAAATAAGTATTTACTTTAAGTACACAGTCACTCGGTAAAGGTAGGATGCAATCCTATTCATGATGTCAAATAAATCATAAATTCTAGGCATATTCTAAGAAAATATTCACCAGTGATTGAATAAAGAATTAAAACATTATTTTATATATATTACCTATACATATATAATATAAATAGAATACATAATATAAATATAATAAATAATATAAATATAAATAGAATCTTCAATTGACTGACATATATACTTAAGGAATTTATTATCAAAAGCATATATTTTTAATACTGACAATTAGTAAATTTGTAAAAGTTTAATGGATTTATAGGAATATTATGCAGTTGAAAAACTATGGATATAGGTTTTTTTTAATGAAAGAAAGACTAATGAGTGAAAATCGCAAGGGAAATGCATATTCACCACAATTCTATAATGTATGCTCCATATTCTAATTTTGCACTGAATTCTTTCTTTTCTAAAATTGATTCCCTGTAGGGAGCATCTACAACACCCCCTGACAAAATCGAGTATGTTTATTAGGAATTGAGACAATATTTCCTTTGAAAACTAGACTGTACTTTTCAATGAGACACTCACCTCTGAAAATTTGAAAACAATAATTTTAAGCATGTTAGAATTATGAGTTGCGATTTCTTTCTGCTTAATAAGATTTTGTGTAGTTTAGTTTTAATCTACTCCCACAATTCATTACTACACATTTCTCCTCCACTAGAAATCTACAGAGTGCTAAGTGAAAATGCCACATAGAAAGGACTCCTTCTCAAAGGACAAGAGTTCACAGTGCCCTGATCCATGTATTTTGGACTTTATATCTTAACAAGTTGCTTAAAAATATCTCTGCTAAAAGTTGTACAGTTACTACATCTTTTACAAATTTAAGTTTTCATGAAGCATCCCATTGTTCCTTGCCCATGATTCAGTGTCTATATTTCACCATTAAAAGTATTGCGTTTGAAATTTGATTCATAATAGGTTATTGTTTCATTAGTTGGGTTTTCTGATTGTCCATTCAGAGACTATTCAGTACTTACAATGTCAGTGAAGACTTTTGAGGCAAGACCATGGGTGTAGTGTGACAATTCAACCACACGTTGGTATAGGTTTCCAGTAGACAAACGGGGACTTGGTGAGGAGATCACATGCTCCCAAAGGAGCAGATTTGATAAGGCCAGCAAAAGCAGTGCCCCGGCTGTAAAGAGAAATGAAACTGAGATGACCCATTGAAATGAGTGTACATTAGTGATGCTATATAGTGTATACTGTTTGTTCTGAGGTCCCTGTGCTACAAAATTGGTCATGAAAACATGGAACTGGAATAAATTGTCCAATGTGAAAACATACTTGAATAGTGATGTTTCTCAAAACCATAGCTTGTAAGGTAGGAGAATTACCTCGGCTTTGGCTTGCCCTTGTAGAGTTTCAAAAATTTGCAAACATTTTGAGATAAAATTGGTTCTGAGACAGAGTCTTTAAGCCATTCTCTTCAGATTTTAATGTTTGGTAATTTGTATTTGTTTTCCATCTCATTAAGGTTAAATAGTTTACTAATTTATTTTCATGCAAATATCACTTGAAAATTAAGATGACTTTTTAAAATAAACTTGCTTTTCTATTCATCATTTACTTGCATGCAACAAATTGGTAAAGTCACAAACCTACTCTCCTTGTTTAAGTAAGGTTCCAAAATCTAACTCTTCCACAGGTGGATTTATTTGAGGAGAAAAGCATCCCAATCCTGGCAACCCATTATTTACTTCCTCCTTCTGTGACTGATACAATTATGCCATTGAGTCCTAAGTTCTCAAAAAAGTTCAACTTCTCAATTTCAGGTCATTTGGCTATTTTTATTGTACTATTTCTTTGTTTTAGAAGGTGGCCTGTGCAGTGGAAGATGGTTAAAAGCAAGTGTTCATTAGAAACTTGTAATACTGTTCCCTGATATCCTTATGTCAAATTCAAAAATAAAAGTAAACAAAGTTAAAGTAATATATAATGTCCATGGGCATTATTTGGCACATGTCTTCACAGAAGAAGTTAGGAGAATTCCCCTAGAGAGCCACTGATCTCCAGGTTAATTTAGCAACTGGTTTCAGGAAATTAATTCTCAGCACACTGTTGACTTGACTTCAGGTTATAAAATGCAACAGTTCCCTAAATATTACAGCACCAATAGCTCCAAAGAATGTATTCTATCCAAACCCATCTTCATGAAATCATACACTAATAACATAGACGAGAATGGATGAAGTGGTACTTACAGAAGGACAGTTGAGTCAATGACAGCTGCATCTCTGAGAAGATGTACTGTGAGATGGACTCCAACACAAGAAAGTTGCTGCACCTGAGTCTGCCTTCTCTCAGCTCATCACCTCCTATATATACTAACAGAATACACTAACCCATGACCATTTAAGTCTAGGAGCAGAAGGAAGCAATGCCTTTGGTCTAGGTAAAAGTTGCAAGATTCTATCCATTCAGGAAATATTGAAATAATCCTCACTCTTGCCACAGTTCTGTCTCTGTATGCATTATTTTTGCCTTTTGCAACAAGGTCCAGGGTTCAAATATTTTGGAAATCACAAATGTCATCTAAGTTCCTTAATGGCTCAGAATCATGTCATGGAGAAAAATGTATGTATTTCCTCATGATTTTTCTCTAGACCAGAGTTCTATATTTTTATATGCCATGTCATCTGTAAAGTTCCATGAGTTTTCCAGGTCTTGGCAAATGCTCTCCATCAGTTATCTTTTGAGTTTTGGGTCAGTATCTCCTAACAACAATCAATTATTCTCAACATTTTATCAAAATATGAATTTATTGATGTATCCTGCAAACCGCCCCCCCCCAAAAGCTTTCTTCTCACAGGGTAAATAATTTCTCAGTATTAAGTAGGCAGAAAAACAAATGTTTAAAGGTATTTTTAATACATTCAGTTAACTTGAAAGTATCTGATGTGATGCTTTTCAAATATGATCGGTACCTTCTAATCATTCTTTAATTTCTATTTTGCTTCCTTTTTCTCATAGTTTTGCAAATAACAAGCCATGAAGAGGATAGCATTATATCATGAAAAGTTTGCACACAGTGACCGGCTTCAAGAGAATATATAATGTTCTCTACCTTGCTCTGTGTGTGGAGAATCTCTATGAGTACCAGGAACCATTGTATCAAGGTATCAGAGTAAAAAGAGGCCTCATTTCTTAACAAGGATTGAGAGCTATAGACTATTAACTTGGGTGAGATACTGTACTCTTTAGTTGTCTATACTTTGGACTCAGTCTGCCTGAGACCCTTACCTTATACTGTCTGTCACCAGGCACAGTGCTGACTAAATTAAATCAGTTGAAGTGTCACACATAGATCATTAAGGTAGTTAATATATTCATGGCCCTTTCTATTCTGCTATGCTTACTGCCCCACTAACTACCCTATAGGTTCTGATAGATGTATGGTTCGGTAGGAATAGGCTGATTATTGTCTGAAATTTCAGTTCAAACTGCCCATGGATAAATCAGCAATTTCCACTGTACCATGTTCCCATTTCTCCCAGTAACACAAATCCCACTTACAGTTCACCCTTAAGGATATCTCTCAACATATGATGTGAACCATATGTCTGTGTATCTCATTCACCTTTAGTGTACTTACCTCAAAGGGTAAAGTGCACAGAGATGCAGAGTTAACCTTGAACCTTTCATAACCTGCTTAGTCTCTACACAAATCTTTTACCACTTGCCTTCCAGTGACTCCCTTAATGAACCCTTTCCTTTTTTCCATGGCATCTTCTTTGCTTTTATATTCAATAATCCAAAATCCTCTGCTACATTAGCCATCATCCTCTGTGTGTTCTAGTTTGGCAAATATATTCTGAGCACAGACATGGTCCACCTTTTGCTAACTGACTGTCAAGTTTTTTACTGAAAAATTTTTATGTGTCTATCAGCTAGGAAGCAGTTAGGCTGTATAGCTGACATCCAAAAAGAGACAAATTTCTATTATCTTCTTAATAAGGAATGAACTATACAAATCCAGGGTGGGTTAATTTGTTAGATCCCACAAAAATTTGTCAACAATAAAAAACAGAAACAACCTTAATCTCACAGTGTTTGGCCCCAGAAAATGTTAATCTCATTCATAGTTCCATTTGTTATGATCTATAATGTGTGCTGTATATTTTATAGTATAGAGGATGTCTGCAGGTAATGGTGGAAGTAGAAAAGTATATGCTTCTCTACAAATTAAGTCAACTGGCCTCTGTGGTTGGAATATAGGACTTTCCAGGTTCTGGTAAGCTTTCCTAGGTGCTGTGATGTAAGACAGAGACTGGATGAAGAGGTCAATAGAAGTGAGAACTCCTTTGATTTTGATATAATCTCTGTTATTTTAAATGTCTTTTAATATGTATATGTTTTATCTTTGTCTTCTCATGTATGATGTGAAAACCATGTGAGCTCATCTGAGATGAGATTTCTATTATGGAAGAAAGGAAGTGTACCCTTTGTTGTAACAGTTTCCTCTGAGATTAAACCTCGCACATTGGAGGGAACCTTCTTATGATGTCTTCTTAAAATCGGAGCAGGTGAAATGACATGGGTTCTATGGAGAGGGAAACATTCCATGCAGCAGGAAAACTTGTTATACTCAGGAAGTAACAATTCAAGGGCTTCAGTACATGAACCTGGCAAAATTAATTAGGAACCTCTTTCCAAACACATATACACTGTAAGAATTGAGAAATACTCTCCAACATGGTGAGCTACTTAAATTAATATCAGAACTGTTGCACTGCCCAGAAGAAACAGACCATGGGATTTACCTGGAATAGGCACACATGAGCTGAAGTGCTTGGAAAAAGAAAAACAGAGGTTAGGTGAGGTCTCTGGAAGAAGCAAAGTCCAAGGAGGCTGCCTAGAAGGATGACTCCCTATTCAGTTAAGCTCTCTGTAAGTTTCACAGTGGGCTCCACCAGGTGACCAGGTTTCTTGAGCTGTGAGCCATGGTCAGGTGGGATTTAAGTGATGTTTATACATGAATGTCTTAGAGTTTGCGTTCAATGTGTAACCTAGAGCATATCAGAAAATAATCTAGATAAATTGTTAGGTATGTTGTCCTCCAAGTTTGTCTATGGACTTTCTATCCAGCCCTTAGAAGTTTTCCTCAAGTGAATCAGAATCTTGAATCTCTGTTAAACTTATAGACATGTCATAACATTGCTAAATTGTTTATAAAATGGCAAAAGAAACTGTGAAAAGCTGTCAGTTTGAATTTGACACTTATTTATTTTTATTTTATAATTAATTTAATTTTACGTATCAGCCATGGATTCCCCTGTCCTCCCTCCTCCCATCTCCCAGTCTTCCCCCCCTCAATTTACCCCCCATTCCCTTCTCCTCCAAGGCAAGTTCTCTCCTGGGGAATCAGCCCAGCCTGGTAGATTCAGCTGAGGCAGATCCAGTCACCTCCTCTCTACACCAAGGCTTAGCAAAGTGTTTTGCATAGGCCCTAGGTTCTAAAAAGCCAGCTCATGCATTAAAGACAGGTCCTGGTCCCACTGCCTGGGGGCCTCCTAAATAGTTCAAGCTCATCAACTGTCTCACTTATCCAGAGAGCCTGATCCAGTTCCATGGGGGCTCCTCAGCTATTGGTTCATAGTTAATGTCTTTCTGCTAGTTTGGCTATTTGTCCCTGTGCTTTTTCCAATCATGGTCTCAGTATCTCTTGCTCATATAATCCCTCCTCTCTCTCGCCGATTGGACTCCTGGAGTTCCACCTAGGGCTTGGCTGTGGATGTCTGCATATGTTTCCATCAGTCACTGGATGAGAGTTCTGTCATGACTGTTAGGGTTTTCGGCCATCTGACCACCAGAGTAGGTCAGCTCGGGCTTTCTCTCAACCATTGCCACAACTCCAGGGAGGCTACCTAGTAAAGAGGATCCTAAGAAAGACACAGGGATAGCCCAACGACAGAGACATGGGTAAGATCTATATGAGCAAACTGGATGTGAGGGGGTGTTAATGGAGGGCAACTGTCAGGGGAAAGAGACCTTAGGGGAGCAGGAGGTCCCAGCTGGATCAGGAACAGAGTGGGAGAACAAGGAAGGAGATACCATGATAGGTGAGGACCCCATGGGAATAGGAAGAAGCAGAGTGCTAGAGAGGTCCCCAGAAATCCGCAAAGATACCTCCAAGATAGACTACTGGCAATGGTCGAGAATTTGACATTTATAAAGAGTCATTTTTTATAAGAAGACGTACATTATAGCCATGCATGAACACAAAAGGTAAAAATTAGAAGCCTTGAAAGTGATTCATCTAGGGTCATCTCAGTAGCAAATGCAATGTCTGTGTGATTAGCAGGTTTGTCATGGACAATTTTGCACTTCAGGTCATCGAGATAAATGGTCACCTTATGTGTATACCTGAGTAGACACTGGAATAGGTTGTAAAGGTCAATAGGTTGAACGTCTTTTTTGGATGATTGCAAATTTGCCAATCACCACCAAGTAGAGCAGTAATTTTCTTTGCTTTCATGCTGAACCTAAACACCAAAAGACAGATATTAGTCACATTATTAATACTTATTAGTCCTTATTAATTTCTTGTGTGTTTTTTGTGTTTGTGTCTGTGTACATTTATATATATACGAATGAACATGAATCTGTGTAGTTTTGTATGTCCAAGCATTTAGAGATCAATAGTCAACCGTAGGAAAATTATTCTAGTGACCACTTTCTGTTTTTTTAAATTAAAAAATTACATATAGCATATTTTAATTATTTGTTATGTTTGAGATTATAATATAATTGCATCATTTCATCTTTCTTTTTCTTACATTAAAGCTCTACTATAGTCTCCTCCTGGATCTCTTTCAAATACATTCTTTTCTAATTAATTGTTATTATGTACATACATGTGACATATAATATATTTTATAAGATTATATTCTTCCCTTTCTTCCAACTTCACCCAGATCCTCCCACATTCCTGTTCATCCAATTTCATGTTCATGTTCACTCTCATTCTCTAAAAGTATATCAGGAAATAAAACTAAACCCACCAAATGTGGAAACAAACAAACAAAGACAAATTCAAAGAAACAAAAAATGCAAACACACACACACACACACACACACACACACACACACACACACACACACACACACACGGAGTCTGTTTTGTATGGGCTTACTACTCTTTGACAAGGTGCCTGCCCTGGAGTGTGGTTAAGACACTCTTTCTTTCCCTTCTTATGTTTTACATAAACTCATCACAGATCTGCTTACCTCTA